CACGGGGTGGCCCCTGCCGCTACCCACCACCCTGCATTGTCACTGCTCTGCATGTGGCCACTGCCACAGTGCCCTCCCCCCATACACTTTGCTAGCCGGATGTAGGGGGGCAGGGGAGAGCTCGCATGTGGTGGTTTGCACTGCTGCTGCTCCACGCTTCCCTGTGCTGAGCGCTGCTCTGCCATGCTTCCACCGCTCCACGCTGCACCCTGCAGCTGCTGCAGCTCTGCATGCGGCTGCCTGCCCCCCAACCCTGGGTTATTTCAGATAACCAGAGTTCTTATACAATTGGAAATTCCCTTACCCTGGGGATGGTGGATAACAGAGATTTTACTGTACTTGAAGTATTTTTGTACATGCAATAAAGATACCAAGTCAGAAATGTTTCCTGTTGCAATTTTTATTATAGTGTTTTCAGCGCATTTAAACCTTTAAGTTCTTTCCTTGATTATTTGTTTCTTCTGTGGGAATTTGTAAGGGCAATAACAGATCAAGATTTTATCGATAATTATTGACTTACATTCTGGAAAAAAGCCCCCCACACATGCACAAATATTGAACCTAAAAGGATGTTGTTAATTTGTAATCAGAACAGTATGTTACAACAGTGATTTGTACAGTGCTTTGTGACTGCAGTACTACTGATTTCTTGTTAAGAGGCTTGAAGTAGGGATATTTTTTTCTCTTGTAGGGCAGACCCAGGGTCCATTCAGATGAGGCTGTGCCTGCAGGTTTTGAAAGCTGTCCAGAAACTGGCTCGTGAATCAAGCATCATGGCCCGAGAAACCTGGGAGATTTTATTATTATTTCTTCTACAGATTAATGACACCCTGCTGGCAGCTCCAACTGTGCAAGGTTTGTGTCTAGCTTTCATTTGCTTTTCTACACATACAGGATTTTAGCTTTCTCTGTAGTTGTCATCTGTTTGAAAAACTACTCAAAGTACCAGTGGCAATATAGGAACATCAGCCTATTTTTTTCTGGTAGCTGTACCCTGAATTAAAGAGGAGACTACCAATGTTGATTGGCTTGGAACTGAGCCTACAAACAATTTTTTTTTGTCCTGTATGCATTCCCAGCTGACTATCTATCCATGTATAAACTCAGATTAGTTTTGGTATGCTGTGTTTCTGTCATCTTTCTTTATGTGACCAAGCAAAGAACTGAATCCCATGTATTCTTTGTTTCCAGTGGCTGTATAGACAAAAGTGAAGACAACACCAGAGCCATACACACCCAACTATAAACTTAAGCACATTGCCAGTAATGTTGCATAAGAGAGATGTGGGCTGGCTTGCTGTGATGATATACTAATTAACTCAGTTGCCTGTTTCTCTGCTGTTACAGTAAAAGGGTTTTAACGACCTCTTTGGCTGGGCTTTACATTGACATTTACAATATTGGGGCTCTTAGAAGCCTTGAATGTCTATGTAACAAGTAAAGGAACAGCACTTTTGTAAACAAAAATAAGTTTGATCATCTGTATAATAAACTAAATTTAGAATCTGGAATTTAAACATTCAAAGCATGAGCATTAACACAAATGTGAGCCCTTTAAGTCCAAAAGGTTCACCAGGTGAAATAGCTGAAAGAGATACACAGTGTTAAATGTTTCTAAAGGTTTCTTTTATTTTTGCATAAGGTGGCATTGCTGAGAATCTGGCTGAGAAGTTGATTGGTGTGCTCTTTGAAGTGTGGTTGCTAGCTTGTGCTCGGTGCTTTCCAACACCACCTTATTGGAAAACTGCCAAGGAGATGGTAGCCAACTGGCGCCATCATCCAGCTGTGGTGGAACAGTGGAGCAAGGTTATCTGCTCCCTTACATCCAGGTAGGTGGAACCTGACGATAAACCTATACTGAGAAAACCATGGTTACAGTGTGTTCTGTTTGGTCAGGTTTCCTTAATAATGAAGTGTTTCATATTTGCATGTTCTGTTCATTTGTGGAATACACTTAAGAAGACAAATATATTCCATAGTTGATGAATAACTGCATGTTCATTAATTCATAGAGGTGTAGTTCTCATAGGGTTGATCACTCTTTTCCAGTCAGTAACACATTTGAATAATGAATGTCATCCAAAAACTTTGAGTGAGCAAAGCAAATGCCTACAAAAATAGCTTTTTTGACTTTTTTCCTTGTTGTTTAATGTCCAAACATTTAATAAATGTCAGCATTTCACAAGTGAACAATTAAATATATTGTTATTGCCTCTGTTTTTTTGTGGCTTTTGTAATCTCAGTATGCCCCTGTTGGTATTTAAAACTTTATAATTTTATGTAGCTTTCTCTCCATCATCATGGCTTTTTATCATTTATAGTATCAGTTTAAATCAAGGAATATTTCTGCTGTATGGGTTCTCATTAAAATAAACAAGACTAGGTCTGGAGTTTTCCAAGTTATACTATTTCTCTTCATATGCATTTGTGGCATCTTTTATACCAGGAATGCTTAACCACCGCCCCATAGGCCAGATTTAGCCCATGGTGCCATGTCATCTGGTTTGCTTGCAGGACTCCCTACAGGGATCCAGAAATTGGGTGGTGGGGAAGTGGTGGTGCAACACCCCTGCTGCTAAATCTCGAGCCATGGGGAGCCCTGGGTCCTGCATGCTAGATCCAGTGCCTGATCCCAGCAAGGCAGAACTGGGTTTGAGTGGTGCTGGGCCCCAGGACCCAATCTTGGTGTGGGGGACTGGTAGGAGGTGGGGCTGCGCCCCTGGGACCCAGTCCTAGCAGGAAGGGGTGGGACTGGGCCCCTGGGATCAAGGGCCCAATCTGACCCTTGGAAAGGCTCTATGGGTGTGTCCACGCATACAGGCATGTGCGCTTGCAGCAGTTCAAACAAGAGCAGCACAAATTTGTGCCAGGGATTTTAGCCAGTTGGTATCTGGGGACACTACCGCTTGTGCCAGCTGGACTACTGAAGCAGCCCTAACCTGGAGTGCCTTTGCACCCTCTACCCACTGCAGCAGTCTGGCAGTGGGGCTGCTACCTGGCTGTGATCTGCTGCCATTTATGACAGCATCCCCACTCTTGGACTTGTGGCCCCATGGCTGCGTGCCTACCAGACCTGGACAGGGACTGCATGGATGCCTAGGCTGTGGTATGGGTACTGTAGCAAAGCCTCCGGCACCTCTGGGCCTGCTGCCAGTGGGCCGTGGCTGCACAGTTGGCCATTGGGCAGCATTACTGTCATGTCTTCTGGTGCCCCCGCTCTGCCTTCTAGGCAGCTATAGCTCAGAAGATGTGCTCCTTGCGGTGGCCTGCTTTGAACTGTCAAAATGTGTCCCCTTGGCTGCAAATGGCCAAGAGGTCAGTCACCTCATCTGCCCTCCAGCTGGGTACCCAGTGCTGGCCCTGGACAGGTTCCTCTGCCCTGGTCTCACCACGGTTTCACCAGCAGAGATCCTGGTGTTCCCCATTTAAAAATTGCAAATTATGTGATAAAAAGCCCAAACTCTCATTAAAATATCCCAAATCCATTATCTTCTGCTATTAAAATGAAATGCCACTGTATATATAGGGAGATCAGTTGGGCAATGTTTTATTATAGATTTACACATTTAAAGCAAGTTGGAAGTCTACCAGTACCTCTATCATTGTAATAAAATCTATTCTAAATATCTGTACACTTTGTTTTTTTGTCATAGAAAAATCAGAGTTGCCTCTACCCCCTTTGCTCACCAGGATGTGCGGCACTGAGCAGCAGTGATATGCCAGTGCCCTGCCCTTGCCCCTCACTCTCAATCCACAGAATGCCCCCAGTCCCCTCACTCCTGACCTGCAGCTGTTCCACTCCCTGCTCCACGTTGTTCTTGGGAAGCCGTCGACTGGAGATTAGGGACTGAACTGGGCCCTTTCCCTTTCAGCAGCAGGCTGGCCTCCCTTGGCACAGGCTGCTCTAGGGGGGCCAGGCTGACTCTGGAGGCCTCTCCTACCTGGAGCACTCCCCACTCCCAATCCCCATCTCTCTCTCATCCCTGCTGCCACCTCCACCCCTCCCCCCCCAGCCCATCACACCCTTCAAGTGACTCCTGGAACCAAGAGCACCCTCCAGGCTGGGGCTGCATGTCCCAGAACTGGTGTAGGCATGGGGCAGGACTGCAGTGTGGCAATTGCCCCTGGAGCTGCAGCTCCTGCTAGCAGGTCCTGTCCCATCCTGTGTGGCTAGCTGGGCATGCAGGGTGTGAGATTTGGGGGGGATGTGAGGTTTGGGGAGGGAAGGGGTGTGAGGGGTGGTTAAGGGGGTTTGTGGGTGGATGCAGCTTGTGGGGGTGAGGTTTGTAGTGGTTGGGGTTTGTGGCTGGGTATGTGGGTGTGGGGTTTTGTGGGTGGATTGTGGGGGGATGGAGGGGGGTTGCTCAGGAGGGGTAGGTCTCCTGATCCCTGCAGGGCATAGCTCCCTCCCCCCTCACAGCTCAGCGATTGCCCCCCTCCCCCCAGATCTGACAAGCTCCCTGCACGGCCCACAGGTCCCCTGTAGCAGTAGCGGCAGCTGTCAGGGTGCTTAGGGCCCTCCTGGCAGAGTCCCCATGTGGCGCGGCAGAGCCCCGGCTGCCTGGCATCCAGTGTCGCCTGTGCCTCATAGATTCATAGATTGTTAGGGGCTGTAAGGGACCTTGTAGATCATTGGGTCCAGTCCCCCTGCACTAGGCAGGAAAAGAAAACTGGGGTCAAGTTACGCCAGCAAGGTGACTATCCAGTCTCCTTTTGAAGATTTCCAGGGTAGGTGACTGTACCACCACTGGAGAGAGTTTATTCCACAGTCTGGACACCCTGACTGTGAAGGAGGATTTCAGGAATTCAGCCTGAAGCAGCCTTCCAGGAGTTTGTATCCATTGCTCCTGGTCTTCGCCAGGGGTGCCCTGGTGAACAGATGTTCACTGAGTTCTTGATGTAGTCCCCTGTTGTAGCGGTAAGCTGCTACTAAGTCTCCCCCTCAGCCTTCTCTTCTGTAGGCTGAAGAGGCCCAAGTCCCTCAGCCTCTCCTCATATGGCTTGCCTTGCAAGTCCCTGACGGCTCTTCTCTGGACCCTCTCTCAAGTTTTTCTACATCCTCATTGAAATGCACTACCCAGAACTGGACGCAGTACTCCAACTGCGGTCTCACCAGTGCGGAGTACAGTAGGAGTATCACTTCCTTAGTTTTGCGTGAGATGCAATGGTTAATGCGTGCCAGCATGTTGTGCGATGCTGTGGCCAGCAGGGCAAACGGCTTATGTTCATGTGATGCTCGATCACTACCCCTAGGTCCCTTTTGGCCGTGGTGCAAGTCAAATTGTCGCCACCAAGCTTATAGGTATGTTGGGGATTGTTTGCCCCCAGATGGAGCACCTTACACTTCTGAGTGTAGAATTCATCTGGTTGCCCTCCAACTCTCTAGCCTGTTCAGGTCTGCCTGTATCTGCAACCTATCTTCTGGCATGACATGTTCCCCCGTAACTTGGTGTCATCTGCAGACTTGGCCAGTGAGCTTTTCACCGCCACACCCAAATCATTGATAAAGATGTTGAAAAACACCAGTCCAAGCACGGACCCTCGTGGGACACCACTGGCCACTTCTTGCCAGGATGACACAGATCCATTCCTGAGAACTCTCTACGTCTTACCATGCAGCCGGTTTTTCACCCACTGAACTGTTGAGCTGTTAAGCCCACAATCTTCCAATTTTTCCACAAGGATATCGTGGGATACTAGATACCTAAGCTTCCAGAAGGCTTCCTACATGACTAAGTCATGTTGTGGGCCTGGCTTGGCCCAGGGCCATGTGCATTCGGGCAGCACTGGGCCACTCGGGCTGTTATCCAGGGGCCCAGCACCACTTGCAGGGGCTGCGTGTCATGCTGGGTCAGGTCCTGCCTCCATGGAACTGGCCTGGCCTGGCCTGGCCTGATGGCGTGCAGTGAATGTGGAGGTGGGTCCCCGCCTGGTGCAACACGTGGCCCCTGCGAGTGGTGCTGCCCCCAGGGGATGAGCTGAGCTGAGCAGCTCAGTGTTGCCTGAAGGTACATGGCCCCGGGCCTGTGACATGCAGCACAGGTGGCAGTGGGTGCCAGGTAGCCGGGGCTGCACTGTGCCATGGTGGGTTTCTGCCAGGAGGGCCCTGAGTGCCCCAATGGCCTCTGCTGCATGCTGTGGGCCCTGTGGAGGGTGAGTGGAGGACCCACCGCTCCTGAGAAGCCCCCTTCCCCCACCACAGTCCCCTGCTCCCTTACAACCCCCCACCTCCAGTCCTCCTCAGTCCCTACTTACCTGAGCCAGAGCCTGGTCCAGGTCACACTGCAACCTGCACCGCTTGTTTGCCCCGCATGCTGAGGCAGTGTGCTGAAGCCCTGGGACAAGGGGCAGCCATAGAGATGCTCTGGCCACCTGCCAGAGCATCTCTTTGGAGGACCCCAGCCTCCTGTTGCTTCAGGGCGTGCTACAAGGCATACAGAAGCATGCCTTGCCCCGCTCTTTTTCTGCACACCTGCTTTTTGTTTTTTGTTTTTTTGTTTTTTTTGTTTTTTTTTTTGTTTTTTTGTTTTTTGATACCTGGATTTCTAGGTATCATATTTAGAGTCCACACTGCAAATATGCAGCCCCCCCCCCCAATTCCTCCGCCTGTTTTTCTGGATTGGGCTGTTGGTAGTATTTTCAAAATACATTTCCTGAATCAAACCCATGGGAAATGTTACTTACACAAGCGTGCATGCATATATGTATAAAATGTTACTATTTTTTCTTTCTTTTCTTTTTTTTAATTTAGAGTACATCTTCACTGAAGAATTAACATGAACTGTTATTCAAGTGTTGCCCCTAGTAACCCTTCCGTGAACACATACAT